TCGTGTGTGTGTCGAATATTGGCGAATGCATTCATCTATAAATTGCGCATCATAAATCAAAGGCGAGCGCTGAATTAATGCTCCACTAGACCCATCGATAATTCATTACTAATTTATCTTCTCAAACACAAACAGATATCTGCATTAATTACAATGCAATTACTTATACACACGTCGCGTTATATATGACCATAATTAGCTGGTCTGCATGTGTGTGAGTGGGTGATGGGCGTGGCAATTAACATTTACATGTGCTACTTATCAAAAGCAAAACAAAAGGCCACAAACATTACGACTTTTGATAATCAACTAAATACCAGACGGCTTTATATTAGCAGACAGTCAATATGGATTTAGGGGATGAATTCTGATAAAAAAAACTGGGTTTGCGTATTGCTTGGGCGACTTACAAAGGACCCGATTCGCATCATAGGCACTTGCTGTTTATGTTAGGTCTACCTTGGATAGATAATTTATAGTCATACCATATATAACCACACGCAAAGCTCGAGTCATGAACTACTTAAGTGATTCTCGCATTGAGGCAACTCAACAACGAGAATGCGGGGATGCTGGTTCGAATCGATCATAAAACAAGTAAGAGGCTCTAGTCGGGAGCTCCCGACTAGGGGATACCCTGAACCCTCTTCTTTCAACATCAAATGCATATATATATTCTAGTTTAGAAGCTATATATCAAGTTTGGTGACTCTGGCTCTTATCATTTACCAAAATTGCCCAAAAAACAGGATAAGGTTATCGATTTTTATCGATTGCTTGGAAACGGAGCAAGTTATCGATCGGAAACAAACTCGATCTGCGCGGGAACTAGGAGCATCGACATCTAAAATTTCAAGTCCCTAGCTCTTATAGGTCCTGAGATCCTTGCGTTCATACATACGGACGGACGGACGGACGGACGGACAGACAGTCGGACATGGCTAGATCGACTCGGCTATTGATGCTGATCAAGAATATATATACTCTATGGGGTCGGAGAAGCTTCCTTCTGCTTGTTACATATATTTGGATTTTGCACAAATACAATATACCCTTATACCCATTTTTAATGGGTTCAGGGTAAAAAATAGTAAATTTTATTAATTTATTATTATAAAAATTATAAAATAATAAAAAATGTAATTAAAAATAAGATAAATGACTGCATATAATAAAAATGATCCTTAAGGTTGTGCCAACAGCTTACATATTAATTTGTCTGCCAAATCTAGTGTCACTTTATTTGATCGTAATCACATTTCATTATATAAAGTAATATAATATGCTAGCGGGTATAGTCCGGTCTTGCGCGTGGTACGTATGAAATAAATTTTCGCAAAGAGCTTTCAAAATGAATTTGACACTGATCGGACAGTAAACAAATAACTTTCATACAAACGTTCTCCGCCAATTTATCACAGTTGCGGGTGAATTTGAGGGCGAAACGCCTGCCACAAAATCTTTGATCCCCATTTCCACCAAGGAGGGATGGATGGAAAAGATTTATAAAAACGTTTTTTTGCGATTTTTCCACACTTGCGGGTGGAATTTCTCGCAATAAATAGGGTAAGGTGAAAATTTCTCTCTCTCGTCCCTAGCTCTTACGGTATGGCCTGCGCGTTGATCACCAATCAGTTAGTCCGTCAGTTAGTCAGTCAGTCAGTCATTCAGTCAGTCAGGACAAACAGTTTTATGTATAAAGATACCCTTAATACATCCAGTATGAACTCTTTGAACTGGGATTTAAGCCTAGCATCCACCTTGAAAGCTGCCTATGCAAACTATCCCGTACAATTGCCTTCATATTTATAGCCCTGCACGAGAATGGATACCTGCTTGCATGGCTCAATTACAATCAACTTCAATTTCATCATATTAATAGACAGTTTTATTTTATTATCCCATAAACTCACTATTTAAAGTCTAGGTTTTAGTTATATTAATAGTTTATTACCCCATAAACTAACTTGGTTTTATGAGAAATCATCTTATGTGCCAATCATATAGCTTATGGAACATTAAACGAAGTAAACTGCAGAGATCTAAGCAAAAGGTTAAGGTACAGAAATTATATATTCTTAATTTTAAGTTGTATTTAGACACTAATAAAAAAATAAACTATAACTTTTGATACATAAAAAATCAAAACTTTTTAGAAATATATTCATACTTATCAGCAAAAGACTTTGAAATATTATACTTAACACAATCGAGAATCAATCACTTAAAGCACATTTTGTTTTAGAGCTCACGGATCATTTAAGAAAGCATTAAACACAAGTTTAAAAACATCAATTATTCAAGATCTTTAACTGGATCACTCAACTATTTTTATTGACACTCAACATTTAGCAGATTTTTTTGGGAAATCTTGAAACGAGCTACTCACCCATCGAAATGCACACATTTGGATGCAGGACGTTGTCGGTTTTTATTGTGATGACATCTCATGGGCACTGGCAGCTGCCAACAGGCATCGGACATCAGGACTTCGGTGCTCGTAAAAGCCAAAAACACGCCTTTTGTTTACAACTCGAAATGGGCGTCCATAGATGCTGGGCGGACGCTGCGCTGTCTACTGGCCATTATCCAAGGCGCTGGCACATCGTAAATGACGAGAGCACAATAAAAACAAAACCCGGAGTCGTGTGGACACACAACACCAAAAGCTGGCACGGCACGGCAGCTGCATCTGCCGCGCCAGGTCCAAGTCGAATGAGTGCCAGCGAGGCGCGCGTCTGCATGTGGAGGCGTTCAGGCCGACACCAGAGCAGAAGACGCACGTTCTGCTAGCCACTGGAATCCATTTGGATTGCGTTTCCACGTTCCCCAAATGGAAGCCGGAGAGAGAGAGAGAGAGCATCCCAGCATCCCAAGTGCAAGCCAAAAAGGTAAACAACAGGACGTGATGCGCATGCGCCTGTATTCAATGGATGCTGGACAGGATGCGGGCCAGCGTTGCGGGCAATTGAGCTACACCAGAGCCGCGGAGCATTGCCATACGGACTTGGGCTCTGGCTGGCTATGAAGCGGCTGCAGCGCATACGGGTTTCCCTTTTGCCATTTTCAATGGCGGGGTTGAAGACGCGCGCAAAAAGCAACCCCTAAAGCGAAGAACTGAGCGCACCAAACGATGCTCAGCTCTGGTTATTCCAATCGACTTTTTATGGGTGGTTGTTGTGCTGGCCCAAAAAATCAATAACGCCGACGTCCATGTTGGCCTCCGTCCCCGGCACCCAGACCTAGGCAGACAATGAAATGATGAAGCCGCCGCCGTCAACGCTTGTAACAGCGCACGTGTTGTCTCTGTTCCTGTGCCCAGACACGGACCCCCTACTCCCAACTGCCGACTCCCAACTGCTGGTCCCTGGCCAACTGGGGAGTGCGTGTGTGTGTGTGCGCTTAGCGGCAACAACACCAATTACAATATAGACAGACATTTAGTGTAGGATTGCATTTAGGAATTGCGGCTGCTCCTCTGGCTCTTCTGGCTCCGGGGCATAATACACATGTGCAAAAAATGACTATGAAAAATTGACCAAATGTATTTAGCAACGAGTTTCTAATGGAAACAATTAAGTCATTAGCAAGTGTTGATTTTGATGAGGGGTCAGTCGGTCGGGGAAGGGAGTGCCAGCGGAAGCGGATAAACTAATGTGGCAGCTCATAATGGAGCTGGCATCCACAGAGGACATCGCTCATGTGGCTAACTGCTCGCCACATGGCACCCACATGAGCCACGTGCTTGGTGCGCAACACACTATATTATACATATAGACATACATATGTATATATTCCTGTTCCTCTGTGGCTATGGCAAGTTTTGTCCCAAATAGCCACAAAAGTGCCAGCAACAGAGCGACGGCTCTTTGGGGCTCGCTTTACAAATGCCTCGCATTTTTCTCAATTACAATGAACAACTTACTTGCCTCTGTGAGCGTGTGTGTGCGTGTGCGTGTGCGTGTGTGTGTGGGGGGGTGTCAAGAGGTGAACTGGAGTCCATTTTTAACCATGATTGAAGAGTTACATGCTGTGGCAGTTTGAACAGCTACGTTTAGCTTAACATAAATGCCACCTCTCCCACATGTTGTTACCTTTTGAATTGGGAAAATCGAGAATTTAAAATTATGTGTGCAACTTTGATTAAAGCAGATGGCTTAAGTTTTCATCCTTATGGAAATTAATTTGTACTATATGAGCAAGAGCCTTAAACTGCCCAGCCATTTGGAAAGTAGCTTAAGATCTACAGTTCGATACTTGAACTGAAACCTAGTTTATATTTCTGCAAGCAGATCCTGAACTTTTAAAATTTACATAAGTTGTTTTTGAGATTGTGGGACAGAAGGCAACGTATAGACATAATTGGAATTCTCTCGTAAGTAGACTTGGAAACAATTAATCCGAAAATTTAAATATTGCAGATTGAGAAAATAAACCGAAATGCAGAACCCCATTTACATGTTGTACTCACGCTCAAAATAACATTTTAATTATTAGGAACAACAGATATGGAAAGGGTTGTTGTTTGTTATAATTTCTCTGTGTGAGGGAAGAAGTCAGAAACAACTCGGTGAAAACATATCCTTCTGTATCTATCAATAATATTGGAAGACCAGTCAATATAAGTGTCCAAAATATCAACTAAATCAAAGCAGCTATCATCAGGTGCATCTGTAATCTTTGATTGTAATCGTTAGCAAGGATAGCCGCATAATTATGCACATAGTACCTGATAAGAACTTTTATTTCTAGTTTATCTCACCTTTTTTCCACATAGATAAAAGATTCCGCTTATCTTTAAGACGACTGTACAAACATCCCTCCATGGTGGTATATTAAAAAAACATATATGAGTACAAATTATCTTGAATCGTGTAGGAAACACCGTCCCATAAGAAATACATATGTGTGTGTGTATTTGTGATGTATGTATTTGTTTATTTATATAGAAAACGCGACCCACGCATGGGAAGCGAGTTCGTAAGGCACAAACATTCAAACGTTTAAAGTGAATCGGAATCAGAGTTAATTGAATGAATCATTAATAATAAGAACTACAGACCGCATCCGACTGGAAGCCGCGGCCAGACATTTACGTATATATAAAGAACATAATACCAAACAATTGCCGAAAATATTAAATTAGGAATTCAAGTCTTTTTTCAAGCGTGGGAAACTCTGGACGCGGCGCGCAGGGCCCGACTACGATGCGGAGGGCACGGGTATGACCGGCTGGAACAGATGCAACCGAGCATCGGCATGGCCCAGCTTGTTGGTGGCATTGCAGTAGTAATCACCCAAGTCCTGCTCCGATACGCTGTCAATGCGCAGCACCGAGGTGGTCGTCTCCGAGGAGGAGGCCGTGTTGGAGACCTCGTAGTGGCGGCTGGACTGTAGCTGCACGCCGTTCCTGAACCAAACAACAGTTGGCGCCGGATAGCCCTGAACGCTGCACTCCAGATCCGCCGAATGGGACAACATCTGCGCCACCTTGGGTCGCTGCACGGCTATCTGTGGCCGGAACTCGACTTCCACACGGATCAAACGCTTATCCGGCTGTCCCTCGCCGTTCTGGGCAATGCAGTAGTAGCCGCCGCGATCCAGACGATGCACCGTCTTAATTCTCAGCGTGGGCTCGTTCAGCACGTGGCCACCAGCGGGCATGATGGCGTTCTGTTCACGTGCCCAGGATATGGTGGGCGTGGGAAAGCCATTGGCATGACAGGAGACCTCCAGGTTCTGCCCCTCAGTCACCAGGGTGCTTTTTGGCGTCGACTCGGAGATCACAGGCGGCGTCTTGATCAGCAGATTGAGCTTCTTGGTCACCTTGCCGGAGGCAGAGACGATCACCTGGCACTCGTATGGGCCCATATCGCTGGCCTCGATCTGGCGTATGCGGAAGCTATAGACGGCACTATCCTGGCTGGGATTCTCTTGCACGCTGATATTGTAGCGCTGATCCGGCAGACTGAGCATATTGCGCATGCTGAGCACCACGGCCGAGTTGGGTTCCGTTTTGGCCCAGCTGACGGTCAGTTGACCCACATGCTCCACGGTGCAGTTGAACTCAACGCTGTCGCCCACACTGGCCACTACATCCTGGCTAATATGGCTGATAACAGGCGCACTAGCGGCAGCCAGCGAGATGCACAGCAGCCACAAATATAGCTGGAGGGGGCGCGGGCAGCGGCTCTTCATTCCGGCTGCTGATAATTTGACAAATGATTCGATTAGCTCGAGTTCAATGCGCTGCTTGTTGCGTGCTGTTTACTGCTTGCTGATTATTGATGGCTGATTGCTGCTTGCGTTGCTTGTGTAACAGTTGTTTGCTTCACGTTGTTCGCCGCGCGACTGAAACGTCTTCGGCTTCGAGCTCTGAGCGACGCTCAAAACTGAAGACGCTGAGCGCAGCGACGTCGGCGTCGCCGCTGGCGTTGGCGTCAAAGTCAGCGCTGACGTTGACCGATCGCTTGTTATTGTTATCTGTGCTCAAAGAACACACCAAAACGCTGCGAGAGTTCACGATCATATCTCTGCTATGCTTTTACATATTTACTTTTACTCTGTATTCGTATTTGCATTTGTGTGTGTACTCGTGTTTATTTGTGTGAGGTTAAGTTGTTGTTGCCTGGCAGCTCACTTATCAATGACTTTAACTTTGTCTGCACTCTTCGCCATAAATTGAATTGTTTTGCTCGACTGCTGCCCACAAGCGACCACGACGGCGACGGCGACGACAACGGCGACTGAGGCGGCAGCAGCGATAGGCGAATGTCCGTTACAAATACGAAAACGCGCTGAAAACGCCTCGAAGAGTCGCGACGCGCGAGCAACTGGCCAAAACTGACGCCAAATTTAAATTTGTGACGCCATTTGCCCCTGAAAACCGTTTAGAAGTTCGTGGAAAGGTGGTGCACGCACACACACACACACGCACGTACACGTATATATGATGATTTATGGCATGGCGCAAGGAACAAAGGACGCGACATGCCGGCAGCGGCAGCAACAACAACAACGCCGTCTGCTGGAAAGACCTTTCGCCTATGGAAATACCAATGCCAGGTCGCGATCCTGCATGGCCACCAAATGCACGCCATCTCTTTTCCACTGGCATTGAGCAACCCTATGAGCAGGGGCGCGTGCGTGAAAACAGCAAAAAGGGGGTGAAATATTGAAACGCGCGGAAACAGTTGAAAATGTTATATATTCCAATGATTTAAAGCGAAATCATTATGAAGTTATATTATGGGTCATGCATACATGCTTAGTATCTACTACAAGGCTGTCAAAACCAACTAATAGCTAATAGTTAGTTTTAGATATATAATTTAAGTACACTCTACTCTCTCAGTGACATGCTCAATTGTCAAGAATTCTGTGAGATTCATCTTTTTTGTAGATAAAATGCCGCTTATAATAATCTTGTAACTAGAAGTTTGTCTAGAATAAGTTTTTAATATAACCAACGTCGCAGTTTTATTTCAGTTTGCGGGTTTTTATATATTTAATGGACTCTGCACTCTAACAAAATGTTTTGCTAGGGTCTTGGAAAAGATGAGACACACAAAATAAAATCAGACCTTAAAACGTGACTGTGACTTATTCTGTCGAAGTGCGGCGGATGTGGCAAGGGCGAGGACGAAGGCGGAATCGGACTCTGAATCGGATTTAGAGTCAGAGTCAGAGTCAGAGTCAGAGTCAGAGTCAGCAGTCGGGAGTCGCTGTTGGCATCGGAGCCTGTGCCAGAGAGCAGATGAAACTGCATCCTATGCTCGGCGCACAGTGCAGAGTGCACATTTGAATCAGATAATTGTAAATTGTGTAAAATAATAAATTTCAAGTTAACTATCTGTGGACCGCATGGGGCGCTTCTATTCATTGCCACAGCTCGCTGCGTGTGTGCCCCGCTGCTTCCCGCTCGACACCGACAGAACCAGCCGCCCCGGGGAAGTGGTCGCATTCGTGGCTTGTCCTAGAACTGTTGCAGTTGCACTCCAGCAGTTGGCTCATCATCGATGCCCCTTTTGGATGCTGGTTCAGGTCCTTTGTGCACTGCACACAACTTGCATCGCCTGGACATGATTTTCACACATACATACACACATACTTACATATATATGTATATGTATGCATGTACATATACTGTACATATGGAGCAGGGAATGCGACTGGAACGGCTGGCTGTGTTCACGTTCACGAGCTCAAGCGGATCCGAAACAGAAAATGTCAAAATTTGTAATTTATTACCCGAATCCTGTTTCTGTCAGTGACTCTTTCGGGTGTCTCGCTTCGGCAGGAGGGGGTTTTGCCATAGTCCTTTGTCACACACTGCGTGTGAATTTGTGGCCCAGTCTGTTTATGTGTGTGTCCGTGTGTACGTGTGTACGTGTGTGTGCCGTCCCTTGGTAAGCGCCCTGTTTTGTTTGCTTTTGGCTGGCTGCCTGGCTGCCTGGCTGAACTGTGAATTGACTTTGGCTGCCAGTTGGCACAACTACAACAACAAACAGCTTTCCCATCTAAAGTCAACAGAAGAATGATCGGTTACATATTCGGTAAACGGCATTAGTACATTTCACACTTCTTCATAAATTCAAATTGACAATTTTATCGCTTAAAAGAACCTTTAAAATTCGATAAATATGCGAAATGAATTTTCATATCAAAAATATGTAAGCCTACTGCACATTTTGGTTAAGAAAAACTTAATGAAAAACAAGTTATATACGCATAACAAGAGCAGGCTTTCATAAATGTTTAGTAAGCAGAACCGACATTAAATTTAATTACAATTTAGATTATAAGCACATTTATGCTCAATAAAAGTAAACTCGCTCATTTATTTCTTTGAAATGGAATCAAATAACATTTGAAATGTTTATATAAAAATTTGCGCCATTTTCGTGCCCACACAGGCGCCATCTGGCAGCACTCATTGGCACTAACTCACTGTCTATAATCTGCCAGCACTAAAAATTTCGAAGCGCCATCTGGTGGCGGTATACAAACGAATTTCGTTTATGATGCTGCCAGATCGTCACATTTCACACAGTTTTCAAACGATGTGGCATCATTTCGCGTATTCTGTTTTGAATTGTTGTTCTTTATCACCGAATAACGGCGCTTAGCGGATGCGATGTAAATGAAAGAAAAATGTGCAAATAATAAATTAGCGACTTTTAAATGTAACCGGTTACAATTCTTATGCAAATTAAGAGTTAATTTCTTATCCAAAGTGAAACGCGCCGAAAAAACACAACCTTTCGAGTGCTGGGTGGAGCTACTTGTGGAAAATGGCGCAACAGCCGCCGGATCAAAACTTTTACCATCACCCGCTGCCGCATCCCCATCCGCACTCACACCCGCACTCACACACGCACTCGCAGCATCCACAGCTGCAGTTGCCGCCACAGTTTCGCAATCCCTTCGATTTAGTAAGTTCATAAAGCACCAAAAACAAAACCAACAACAACAACGACATTTCTTTTTGCCCATCATCCAAGCTGTTTGATGAACGCACGGGCGCCATAAACTACAACTACATACGTCCCTATCTGCCGAACCAAATGCCCAAACCAGGCAAGTATTCCAATGCATACATCTGTATATAACACGTGTGCATAGTATGTAAATATAAACAGTGCTTAGGGCAGCTCCAAATATTTGAGAACAAGTTGCGCATTGTACTATATAATACAGTGAAAGCTCCTTTGAGTGAGGTCAGCTTAATAAATTGATCGGATATGCAAAAAAAAAAAAAAAAATTAAATTGAAAAAAATATAAACTATAAAAGCTAGTTTTAATGAAATTCCACGGTTAAAAGTGTAATATGAGTGGATTACTCTTCGATGAAATTTGTTTTATTTATGAGATCAACTTAAAATCACATAATACGTTCTATTTCGCTAGTTTTTTGCTAGATTCATTTACGGGCGGAAAATGGGTGAAAATTTGTTAGTTATTAGAAAAATAATTTTCGTAGAAAATGTTTTAATTTCCAGACATACTTCTCTAGGTATACATATATGCATGCGCACAAAAACTCTTGTACTAAAAACATATTTAACTGTATATTCAACTCAACCCGAACACAGATGAGCTGTCTGACTCGCTGGTTATGCGACGACCACGTCGCACTCGCACCACATTCACCAGCTCCCAAATAGCCGAGCTGGAGCAGCATTTTCTGCAGGGACGGTACCTGACCGCACCACGACTGGCTGATCTTTCGGCTAAGTTGGCGCTGGGCACGGCGCAGGTGAAGATCTGGTTCAAGAATCGCCGGCGCCGTCATAAAATCCAATCAGACCAGCACAAGGATCAGTCGTATGATGGCATGCCGCTTTCGCCGTCCATGCCCAATGCACCAATGAAGACACTGGAGGCGGATCCACCGAGTCTTCAAGCGCTGAGCTTAAGCGGTGGCGCAGCCACGCCTAACGCTCTGACGCCCTCGCCTACGCCGTCGACGCCCACAGCGCATCTCGTGGAGCACTACAGCGAGTCGTTTAGCGCGTATTACAATTACAACAACCATCACCCACAGGGCCAGCAGCGGCATGTGCCGCAAGTGCATGGCCAGTATGGTGGCTCTTCGGCGTCCAATGCTGCTGCCCAGTTCTTTCAGCATGGCAATCCACATGCCCAGCAGCAGCTCCACCAGCAGGGGGCGCCACCGCCGTCGCATCATCAGCAGTCGCAGCAACTGCACCATCACCATGTTATGGCACAACAACAACACCAGCAGCAACAACAGCAGCAACAGCAGCAGCAGCAGCAGCAGCAGCAACAGCAGCAGCAGCAGCAACAACAACAGCAGCAGCAATATCATCATTTCGATTTTCAGCAGAAGAGTGGAAACGCCTGCCGGGTGCCGACAATCAAATGCGAGAACGGGGACGAGTACAATTTCAATGGATCGTATTATATGCGAACGACGGCGCTGGCACTGTCCGGCGTCGCTGGCAGCAGCATGTCGGGCGTCGAGGCCGTAACGTCTGCGCTCTCGCCTGGCTCCGAGGTCTACGAGCCATTAACACCAAAGAATGACGAAAGTCCCAGTCTGTGTGGCGGTGGTCCTGCTGGCGGCGGCGTCGGCGTTGGCGGCCCAAGTGCCACAGCTGTCGGCGCCGCCGATGTCACCGACGACATGGACAATGGATCGAATAAGAAGACGACGACGCTACAGGTGAGTATATTACCTTACAAATGTATTTTCGATTCTATCATTCTGTTCCCATCTAAACAGAACTTGGAGCCACTGAAGAGCAACAACAACGTGGTTACAGACAAATCCTGTGACAATGCCAGCGATGTATTGGGCACCGGACTACTCACTGTGGCACGCGGCAACCTAATCGGCTGTGGCAGCAACAGCAGCAGCAGCGCCTTTGGCAAGTTCGGCAAACTAACAGTACCGTCCACGCAGACGCCACCACCTCCGGGTGGTTCACTGGAGGCCATGCACGAGACAAATCAATATCAATGTACGATGGATACGATAATGCAAGCGTATAATCCGCATCGTAATGCCGGTGGCAACACGCAGTTCGCCTACTGCTTTAATTAAATCGGGACACCAGGCGCCCTATATAATATAATAATAATTTTAAGTACACAAATTTTAATGTTTGTGGTGTTTCTTTAGCTTTAAGTGACACGTTAGTTCCTGATTGTACAAAGATTTAGTGATTGTAGATATCTATGCGTAGTATTTTAAGCAATTTAATAATGTTTTAAATGAATTTTGTAAAGCTTAATTAAGTCATAGCTGTAATTTTCCAAGCATTTTCAATGTATTTCCTTAAGAAACTTCCTTTGTAAAACGTTCATTGGTTTCAACTCTGTCTGGCTGGGCTTTCCCAAAGCCCATGAGTGCCCAGCCAGACATACTTGAGACAATAATGGGCTTAGCTGAAGGTTTTACCAAAGAAGTTTTCGTATGAAAATCTCATGTAAGACTCCTTTCTATAACTTTGGCCTCCTGGCATAGCTTACAAAAAACTGCACTGATCTAAATGAAAAATGTTTCTCTTCCTGATAATCGCAAGACTTTCCTTTTGGCCTGCCATTATCAGCCGAAGATCGAACATTTAAACAATAATACTCGTCAGAATATTTTTAATCCTTGCTATGCCACGGTTTCCATGTTACAATTGAACATTCTTCACGTGAGAATTGTTCTAAAATTGTGCCAAAATACATGAAAACCACTCGCCTCAGTTATCGAAACGAATACTATATATTACTGGAGGATTTTCTATATTTTCGTATAATTGAAAATGCGTTGAAAATTTACCAGTTACCTTACGAATCGTGCACCTTTCAACTGATGTTTTAAAGCTAAGTTATCTTTAAATATAGTGCATTTGGGAATATATATTAAATGTTCAATACAATATTTCCAAAAATTTATATATTAATAAATCTTACAAACCAACAAGTTTTTGGGAGCGTTTTGCCTTTAAAGTTTTACGATAAACAACTTAAATGCTTTTTAATTCTCTTAGCATTAGTACTAAAAAGATATTAATCTCCATACATTATGTAAAAAGTTGTCATATTTCAGAGACGATCAGGCAACGATTGTATGAATAATATATTATAAAGGAAGAAATTTCGCAGAAAGCATATAAAACTGTCTTATAATAAATAGATATGTAATATTTATTATTATTTTGGAAAGCCAGAAAATAGTTCAGTTGGAAATGTACGCAAAATTGTTTGGCAAAAGAACTAAAGGAAAACGATTGAGTGTATCTACAAAATTATAAATTTGTATAATTTAAAAGATTGAATTAAAAATGCTAAATTAAAAAATGTATCATCCCAAAAGTGATATACTCTGAATTAAGATAGCTTAAAAATAATTATTAAATATGTTTAAGAAATCTGCATATGCATATGTAATATGGACAGACAGATATCTTAATATAAGTGTGTAGAACTTAAAGCTATGCACATGTGTAGGCAAATTTGACACGTTACAAAATGTGCGATGAACGAAAACTGTAGCTGGTTTTCCCGAAAATCTTATGAATTTAAAAAAGAAACCTTTTATGATGATGCGCAGGCACATGTGTGCAATAAAATCCGATCCGCGAATATTCTACGAAATCCGCATAATAAAATTCGCGCTTAATTTAAGTCCTAAACGACCAGGTGCCTATGTGCCTATACCTATGTACATACATCTACCTGACCTGAACTATTTAGGTAGGCTGACATGGCACAACTCCCGGCCGGGTGTGCTCATCTCTGCTGGCACCGAGGCGCCGCCGCCGGGCCAAGCAGGCAACTTGTTGCAGCACATTTCTTTGATATAAAACTTGGAAAATCCAACATTTGCATGAAAGAATGAAATGTGGGTTTCTCCCATATGCAATTTTATTGACTCGTTCGCACATATTTGTGTAATTGGAGGAACTAAACGGGGGCGCGCCAAATGCCAGATTATTGCGCATGTGACTATTGTGAAATAAGAAAGATTATTTATTATTGACAGAAGATTTAATTACCAATAATTATAGTTTAACATTTCGACAGCCACAAAAATAATGGGGATGCAATTTATTTATAATTTTTATACTTCTAAAAAGATTAAGAATGATATTAAATAACATAAGCATTCATTTATAAAACTTTATTATAAAAAGCTCAATAATAAAGTCTATATCTACATAAGAAAAATGTTACTTACATTCGTTATGCTCCCTTAAGTCTATTGTTATTAGACTCTAATGCAGTTTCAAAGTTATTTTATATCTTAAAATCGTATTTTTTCATATATTTAGTAAAAGTGATTGATTCCCTCACACAATTTTTAAATTACTTTTAATATTTCTTAGCAAGGTGTCTTTATAGTATTTCCGTCTCAAAAGTTTTATTATATTTACAAATAATTATCCTCGCCAAAATAAATATATTTCATGTTCGAAAATTGCTTAACTAATGTTGCAATTTCTTACCGACTTCTATGCTGGAATTTTGTAGGCAATGTTATTTTAAAATAATCTTATTTTATTCTAAATATGTATATAGATTTGCGAAATTTGGCTGGTTTCTTTCTTCAGACAATTATTTTTAATTTTACAATAACAGACAGCTTCTTTTATTTTGGGTATTCTGAGGAATTTAATTACAAGTGGAAATATACATATGTACGTATAATACCATGTGTCGCGTCTATGCAAACTGTACAGAAATTATGTGTTATGACTTTGCCTTTGTTCTGACGGATTTTTAGTAAATTCTCAGAAGCAGCAAATCCCATAGCGCCAGCAATAAAGTTTTGCGAACACGCCGAATTCGCATACGAGTGCCGCGGTGTCGGAGACAGAGGCAGGGACTGAGACGAGACAAAGCCAGAGACAGAGACAGGGACAGGGACAGGGACATCGGCAGAGGCAGTCTGTATTGTGAGTGTAACACAAATAAAGTCATAAACTTTTAAATCAAGCATAAAACCCTCGAAATATCCTTTTTCGCAGCGTTGCTTTCATTGCATTATGCGGGATAATTGTGCACGGAGCGAGCGACCAAAAGCCGCGACGCACTGAATGTCGAATGTCGCCGCATGTCCTTGGGATTCACTTTCGTCGACGTCTCGTCCAAACAGGTGCTACAAGTTGGACAACATACAATACAGATCATCATCAGTTATGGACAGTCGCCAGTCTATCGCTAGCTAGTACTACCTGGGCAGCGAGATTCTGGGCCAGATCTGAGCCCGGACGAACTCACGTAACGTCAAATCCTAGGTTAGCCGGATTTCGATCAAACAAGCCTCTAGATTGCCCCTGGCCCTGGACTTGGCTAGTCTGGCCGGTGCCAGACGCACATTCTACACAGCCAAAGACAGAGACAGAGACAGAGACTGTGGCTGCCACAGATGAGGCAGACGACGTCGTCGGCAGCGTCAACGATATACAAAAGGATTTATTGCCCGTGCGCGAGTTTAGGCAAATTTTTGGCAAACCCTCCGACTACCTAGCAGGCTATATATTGAGCGAGTGCGGTCGGCCAGGACATCACTATTGATTTGGACAGTCCAACAGTAACACGAGCACGAGCACACGCGATGTCATCCGTCATGCATTACTATCCAGTGCATCAGCCCAAGATGAACGCCTACCCAGCGCCGGTGGCCAAGTACAGCAATGTAAGTTAACAGCAGATCGACTCTCCTGGCCAAGCCTGTAATTCTTGCTTTTCTCATTAGCTTCTGTATGGCCATCATCAAGGCACGCCACAAGTGATGCAGCAATCACAGCCAAACCCATCAGTGGTGATGCCCACTTACCAGCCACCAGCAACACTGCCCGAGTCCGTGGGCGAGCAGCCGGGGCAGCAGCTGTCCTCCGATGAGAACATGCCACTGCAGCCGGCACAGGGGCAGCGCGTCAAGCTGAAGCGTTCCCGCACCGCATTCACCAGCGTGCAGCTGGTGGAGCTGGAGAACGAGTTCAAGAGTAACATGTATCTGTACAGGACACGTCGTATTGAGATTGCGCAGCGTCTGTCGCTGTGCGAGCGTCAGGTGAAGATCTGGTTCCAGAACCGACGCATGAAATTCAAGAAGGACATTCAGGGTCATCGCCAGCGCGACTCCAAGCCGAATGCCAAGCTGACGCAGCCTCAAACGGAGCAGAGTGCCCATCGCGGCATTGTGCAGCGGCTCATGTCCTACTCCCAGGATCCCAGCGCTGAGAAACGGGCAGCTCTTCCGACTCCAAGCGCAATCCCAACTACGCTGCCACATCCTGTACAAAACTACTATACACAGACCAAGCCCAAGCCGAAGCCCCAAGCGATGCCGAGTGGCACGTCGGATCTCAATGAAATTCTGGAACATCTGGCGCAATCGACAACGGCGCCCGCACCAAATGCTTTGCCCACGACCTCAGCTTCCAGTGGACACTATTCCTACAATGTGGATCTAGTGTTGCAGAGCATCAAACAGGATCTGGAGGCAGCGGCGCAGGCCTGGTCCAAGTCGAACCCAACGCAGACCAGCAGGCATCATGCCGCTGAGACCCATGCCATACATCCCACCTCATCGATATCCATGAATTTATCGTGGGGAGAGCCCGTCGCCAAGTCAAGAAAATTGAGTCTCTCCCACATGAATCCCTGCACGACCACATTTGACTACCACAATTGATGCCAAAATCTTTTAAACTATCCCACTATCCCACACTTAGATATGTACATGTACTTTTTTTGTGAGCTTTATCTATATGTTAAGGTAGTCTATTAAGTATTCGTCTCTGGTAAAGAAAACGCCGACGCCGACGCAAAAGGCTCAACTCAGTGAAACAATTAAGAAAATTCAACAATTTAGATGCTTCTACTACTTAGTAACTTGAACTTTAAAATAAGCCAAGCATTATTAATAATGACTTTATATTTAAATAATAATAGTAATTCTATTAATAATAATATAGTAATTATGATAATAATAACAATGATAACAATAATATAATTATATTGATAAAAATAATAATTATATAACTAACAATAAAATAATGAAAGTCATATTAATAATTATAATAATAATAAGTTACAAATAGCATTACAAATAGTATTGCAACCAAGACTACTCTTATTTAATCTAAAGAGTTACAATTAAAAGTTTTAAGTATTATAAGCAGTAATAATATAATAATATAAATATAAAATAATAATGCAAGCTAGCATCTGATATTTCAAGCTATATCATTTATTGAAAACATTCTGTTACATATTATCAAAACTTAATAAATTTTCCAAAAATTCTGATTATAAAAAAATACCTTTAATGAAAATCGAACACATTCAATTACCTTTAAGATTGCACAAAATAAAATTTTATTTTTTTTTTTTTAATATAATTATTATTTTTCTTTCAAATCTGCCCGATTTTTGGGCGATAATTAAATTTGTTCTGTAAAATTTGGCAGTTAAGTAATGAAAGTATCTTTGTGTCTGTTTAGTGTAGGGGGAGCAGTGGAAGGCTTGGAGTTAGAAAATGAAGGAAGAACTGTTCATATATATTTTAGTCTTTAAACACATGAAAATAATTCCTAAAATCTATGGATATATAGATAAAATAGCATTTATCACTTAAAGTGCTACCTTAACCCCATATAAACTCTCTTTGTTAACCCTTAAGCGTGCAAACGTTTCCAGCTCTGTTTTGGTCTTAAATGGAACATTCTAAACGTGACCAAATCCATCATTCCTAATGTCAAGGCGTTTAAATGAGCAAAGAGTTCATTTTTGTGGCATACTTAAATAGTAGAAGCACTTGCCCCACTTGCCGCACTTGCCACACACTCGGCAGAGTTTTCACTTTTGCATTTAATGTCCTCTTGTGGCTTAAGGGTCAAGTCGAGGAATTCCACGACAAAGTCAAATGTTTGCTTGTGCGACCATCTATTAATACAAGCGAAAAGTGTCAACCGCATTTGCCTCGGACGCAGCCTGGTCACAGGCCCAGGCTCAGTCTCCGGTCCGGCACCGGCTCTGGCTCCGGCTCAGGTCCAGTGGTCATCTTGGAAATGCCGCAGAGACTACGAGTGCGAGTAGAAGAGAAGTGCTACGATTTGATTTATGGATATTTAACCGCACGCATTACTAGTACTCGTGTCGGGCAGTTGGGACACTTGTTTTGGGCCGGACAGCTGGACGACATCTTTGCCGGAGTGGCGTGGAAATACGACTCGACTCGATTGCTGCTCCAAGGAATGTGCTCGAGACACACACACACACATGCCGCAAAACACGCTTAGTTACTCCGGCTTGAAGTGACTTTTGGGGTTTACCCATGGGTTTGGGTTAGCCCGTGTACCCTGGTGTGGCAAATTGCTTCCCCTGGGAGGAAATTGTCGGTGCGGAAATAGTGCCAAGCAGCTCTGCTGTGGCGAAAAAGGGGTGGGACCTTGGAATTTTCATGCGCATTGTTGACATTTCCGAGCATGTGTCAGACGCGTTTGCGGTAGCCGTAGGCAATGGCAAGTCCTTGACATCACATGTCCTTCGCCTTACCACAAACAACGCTCGCACACACATACACACACCCACACATTGCCATAATGAATATAGATGTGATTTTGGTTAGCAGGCGATGGTGGGCGTGGCTAATCGTCTGGCTATAAGCACAGCTAATCAAAGCCGCATAAAAAGCGAGCGATGAGCCAGCTGCAATTACGCGAAATGCCATTGTAATAAACATGTCCAACAGATTGTTTCAATTGTTGTTGCCTTATGCCGGCCCAGCCCTCGCAACTCAATCATTTCCAGCCGAACTCCATTTGCTCCGCTTTAGCTGCACGCGAAATATTGCCATTTTATTGGACTGCGAGCGCGCCTCTGCGTTCCGCTGATGACAGGCTTGAGATGGCAATGGAGCTTCCTTCTTGGCCTGGTCATAACAATAAATTCAAAACCTCAACAGCCCCGGCCCGTCCCATCCCTTTCTGCTCGAACTACTGTAAACAGAGGCAGACCAAATGGTTTCTTGTTAATTAAATTAAATATTCACTTGGGTTCTGCATTACGCGCTGAAGGTAATGCAAGGCCCGAAACGGCAACCGCGACATTTTCTAATTAGATTGAATCTATAATTTTTATGGCTAATCGCAGTGGGCGTTTTCAGCTCTGAATTTTGAATTTGCGGCTTTCATGGCTCTTGCCAATTATTTCTTAAGCGCTTCTCCAAATAGCCCAAGAAGTTGCAAATGTGTTTTGTGTGCTAATGAAACGGGGTCTTCAGTAGCCACGTTTCGTCTTTCTTCAAAAATCATTTGAAGCTGAATAGGAAAGAGTGGAAAGTTTGCATGCCTTATGGAAATTCCTGGAATCTATGTACAACATCAAAATTTGGACTAAAATTAAGTTTGAATAAACTAGAATTAAGTTTTTGCGATCCTTGGAAATGCGAATTCCTGAAAACTTTCATTAAAACTTATAGTTTACCTAATGTGTTAAAGGAATTAGGAGAGGTTATATATTTATAACAAGTTAAACTCTCCATATAGTAGAACGAGTACGAAAATCATCATATAGGTTTTTATCTCTTGTCAAGTGTCTTGATAAAAACAATATGTTTTATATTTTACACCTTTGTAGAGGATATTATAATTTTGTCTTGAAATGTATAACACACAATAGAGACATCTCCGACCCCATATTATATTGATTAGCATCAATAGCCGATTCAAAAGTTGTCTCCCGGTCTTACAGCTGTCGTCATATCTCGGAACCGGCCGGATCAGACTGCAAAATCATATAGCTGATTTAGAAAAGTTGGGTAGAAAATTAAGTTCTTGTAAGAACCATTTGTTTGTTTATCAAAGTATCTGAACAAAACTCGCCATTTATAAGTTTAGCTGTTCTTCCTATATATAATAAAATCATATCAACATCTAACCACTATATCATATAGCTGCCATAGGAATGCTCCGTCGAAATTTAAGTACCATAATAAACACCTTTTTTATTTTTTGAGATTTCTTTGCCATATGCAGCATATAATGGTATTACAATGTCCGTTCAATATGAGCCAAATCTTATGAATTTCGAAAAGCTAGATGATATAGTTCCTTAGGGGAGTTTTTGTAGGGGAACAATTTGTTTTTCAAGAACCCGGATCTTTCTTATTCAAGCTGCCTAAGCGAATGGGTCCTTAAGTAACGGATCTTTCTTATTCAAGCTGCCTAAGCGAATGGGTCCTTTAGTAACTTGCACATGCTTTAATTCTTGATATTTGTTGACAAACAATTCTTTCTATTAAATACGACATGTACTTAAAATTTTAACTAAGCGCTGGTACAGTGCTCGATGTATGCATGTTTGTAAAGCTTTTTAGGATTTTCAGTATGTTTAGCACGTTTAAACGTTATGACATTTCACAGACGTGTTAGTCCCTCAACGCTACCAATATGGTAACACCTGTCGTATAAACAGGCCAAATGTATGCCCCATGCAACCCCATTTCCCCCTCGACCAAGGCACAAAAATGTTTTTTCAGCTCACAAAAAATTGCACATGGCCAATGTATGTGAATACGGATACGAATATGTGTGGAATGGTTAGGTTTGGTCTGCCGTGTTCCTTGGGGCTGTTTGCCTTAAAAAATAGTGTGCACGGTGTGTTCCATGTGTCTCTGCCAAGTAGAGCCGGGCACAGGTTAAGTCGGAGCTGGCGTCAAGTTCTGTTGTTTTGTATTCCGCAGCAGGTTTTTGCGCAAAATGAGTGTGTGAAAAAATCACTTTAACATTTGATGCCAATTGCAGCCAGGTTGAGCGGGCAACGTACCTTTAGTCCTTACGCACAGGCTTGTCGCTGCCATAGACATCCGCCAGCCCGGCAATCTTGTTGTTGTGCCTTTCATAGCTTGAATCATGGGCCGAAGTCGTGAGGTTGTTGCTAGCATCTGTTGCTGCTGGCATTTTACTACACTCTACTCCAGCTCCAGCAGTTCGGAATTTGTGCAATTGGGGTTAAAACAATGTGCGACAAAGTTTGAATATTTGATTATTTCCTCAATATGCGCACACGTTTCTATACAAAATATCAACTGATTGTAGTTTTGCATTACATTGCCAAGATATTAATATTTAATGTAAAATTAAACGATTTTGTACTTATGCTTGCAAATTTCGAGTATTAGCCCATGTTATTATTTAAAATAGTATAATTTATAGATATAGTTCCCTTTCTAACTATCTATATATATTCAAGAGTTTGTCCTGACTACGCAAAGTCCTATGACTGGGTTTTGGAAAATGCAATACATAAGTGGGGAAAATGGTGGTCAAGGTTTGTATCTGTTTGGAGTTTAACAAAAAATTGGTATACCACCTGCTCTTTTAACAGTATTTACCCAGGCGACACCGGGTAATTTCTTGTAGTCTTTAATATTTTCAACATTTTAAGACGCTATTCAAAAGTACTATTAATAATATTTACATGTCATCAGTTCAACTCTTAAGGAAGGAATTGCAGTTGACTCCATAAAAAGGCGTTTAATCCAATTAATCATTCGAGTCAAGTCACATTCAGCAGCTACCTCTTGTGGCATGCAACATACGCATGTACATTGCTGTTGACCTCCCAATATGGATACGTATCTGTATATACAAATAGGTACGTGCCGGCTCAGTTTGTGTATTTATGAGCCAATAGCCGGTATATTTTTCACGATGTAAAACCCACAATTAAATTACATGAAATCCATTTGTAACAATTACGCCGAATGGCAATCTATGCTGATGACGCCGGAACGCTCGTCATATGGACGATAACAACAGCAGCAGAAGGCAAAAACAACTCTGGAGCGCTTTGCCTAAGCGCAATTTCTATAAAAATGCGATGCGTCATGTGAGCAATTTGGTGTCGCTGGCAGCGTGAAAGGGTAAGGGTAGGGGTGAAAGGAGGGATGTGCCACAATGGTGCCACAACCAGTTCACCGGCTCGCTTTGAGCTGCAATTATTTATTCCTGCATGTTGCCACTTGCGTGAACGGAACGAGCAAACGGCCGCTGCCACAGCCACAGTCACAGCCACAGCCACAGCCAAAGTTGCAACGAGCTTCGCTGGCGCTTAAGCATGTCCATGTCCGGCCTGGCATCTCCAGCTCCAACCCATCTCCATAGCCATCGCCAACGCCATCGCCATTGCCGCAGTGCTCCTAAATGCAATGTGCACACGAGACACATATCCGCCGCCAGCGTCAGCTCGCAAAGTGTGTGACTGAGTTGGGCGCACACACACACACACACACACACACACACACACACACACACACACACACACACACACACACACATACACACAGGAGCAGGTAATGTCGAGCGACATGCACAACCTTAGCTGGAGCCGGAGCCAGTTCCAGTTTCGGTGCCATGAAAATGCATGGCTGCAACTTTAGTCGGGTCTTTGGCTTAGCGCTCAGATTGCGGCTCTATTATTAGATGCCATTATGTTTTATAGTCTATAATTGATCCTCTGAGCTTAGCATGCATGCATTTCTTTATCTCACAAATTATATGAGATTAAATGAAAAGTAATGTACAATCCATTTAAACGATATGCACCATTGGCTAAAAACCTTTCGCATATAAACGTAATGCCCGTTAATATTGCGAAAAATATCAAGCTCAAGCAGTCAGCAATATTATAACCATAGTAAATCGAGTGAGCTTGAAGAAATTGTCTTGGCTTACACTTGGAATAAAGACGTCACAAGCACTTAAAGTTCTTCTCAAGCTTCTCAAGGCACTGCTGAAAGTTAAGTCAGGTATTATCCGCGCAATTACAATGCTGGAATACCCCTAGCTTAAAACCTTACTGGTACAAATTTAAACAAGCTGAAACTTTATAGCCATAAACACACTCGCTTATATATGTTTTCAGTGTATATACACCTTGCATGTTGCCAACCATTTAATGAGTACCTATGGAGCCCTCGTACTCTGGTTGCCATGCGATATCGTTGGTGGGGTTGTGAATGTTGTGTAAACAAACTGGTCGAATGCAAACATAAATGTTTACGGAAATCCATAGCGAAATCAACGTTTTACTAAAATAAATTGTTATACCAAATTAATACAATCTTAATATGTATTCACTGCAACATCCGCAAATGGATGAGAGTTTCTTGCAGCTCGATTCAAAGGTTGACGAAGTTATGAATTTGTTGCGAGGCATTAAAAAACCAAATGCGTAAATAAATCAGCTGTTTTAAAAGCTAAATAAATACACATCATATTTATAGAGAGGAGGCTGAAACGGAATCGGAAGAGACGGCAGGAAGTGTCACAGACGACAATTTTATGGTCACCGCGAGGAAAAATCAAATTGAGGGAAAAGGAAATACTCTGAATAGCGCCAAGGACCGCCTTACATTCATGAGACAGGTGGAAGTGGACCAGGCTGAGCGGTCCAAAGCACGCCTAGAACGCGAGCGCGTGGCGCAGAAATTTAGAAAGTATGTAACTCATGAGTATAAATATATATAAACTCTAATCCGTATTCCCTTTTTGAGGCTTGGCAACTCTGATTATCGCAAGGGAGACTACGAGAGTGCTGTGCGTATGTACAGTCAAGCTCTGGAAAATATTAAAGACAGTCCCATATTGTACATAAATCGATCTCTGTGCTTTATCAAGCAAGTATTTTTATACCGCTAACAATAAAAGGCAGTATGTAAAGAAATTTCTTATAGGTTGGGTCGTTTCAAACGTGCTATCATCGATTGTGACTTTGTGTTGAACAAGTTGGACGAAAAGAACATGAGAGCCTGGCTGTATCGCGCCATGGCCTATAAAAGCTTAAACGACGAGGCCAGCTTTGAGAACTGTATTAAATATGTGCGTAAATATCATTCCAAGCAACTGGAATTCATAGACGCTTTTATTGAAAAAATTAAAAGTAAAAAGGACTAAAAGAACGTTCGCTTTTAGCGATAAGCAAAGGAAGATACTATGGCCCATATTTGAAGGCTTTTAGTGCGACCTTTAAAATACATAATGTACTAAGCATTGCCGCTGATTAATGTTTTAATAGTTGTAAAGCTCATTAGGTGTTTATTTTAAGTTTGAGCCGCAAATAGAAACCGAATACGCCGAAGAGAAAAACGCACAAATGAAGTGTTGTTTACATATGACAGCAGGAATTTTCATGTTGGTGTCAGCGTTGTCAGTGTCAGGCAGAGCAGCAGAGCTGCGGAAGCATGAACCGGCGAATAACTCTTTCGATTCTAATGCCATTCAATCGAAACTCGCAGCCCCGTCCACAGCATAGCTCATCCCCAACCCTGCAGCCACCCCGTCAAGGCAAACAATTCGATGGCGGTAATCAATCTTCCTCCACTCTGTGCGAGTTGACAGCTTCGTGGTGTAGAGTCAAATTGCGATCTTTGTTTGTCCCGGACTGGGTCTCGTTCCCGGCCAGAATCGAGTGCACAGGCCCCCCCGTTGTACCCATGTATGGCTCATACTGACGGGGCAGGGCGGCGGATGTGCGGGGGGGTTCGCCTGTTCCTGTTCCATTTATGCGTGTCAAAGGTTGCGCCAGAGGGCGACAGATTGAAGCGAGGCAAAGGCAGGCGACACAAATGTTGTACTTGTCACGGTTGTTGCGGTAGTTGCATCTTTAGCTTGAAGTTCCGCTCGAGTGTGTGCGTGTGTATATATATATGTGTGTGTGTGTGTGTGTGAGGGAGAGGGAGACGGCATATATGCCAGTTCGGAAGGAAAATACTCGTAAGCATTTTGAGGCTAGCTAAAATCGCACATGATAAATAGTCAATAAATACGTTTATATCTATATAAGCAGAAACATGTGTGCGTATATCTTACTGCAAATGAGTCGTAAAATTTTTTGTTCCTAATTGATTTTTCTTGTCATTAATCCTTTTGATTAAATACCAAACAATACATTTCATAATCAACACTATTATTATTAGTTCTAGCTAGTTAAAAACAAACAGTTAATTTATCAAAAGAACAGCTTAAAATGAATGTTTTCTTTTGACATTAATTTGTATCGAATCATGCTCAAATGCCATATATCTTTGTGTTAAATGCAGGTTTTTATAGAAGCACGTTAATTTTTTTTTAAATGTCATCAGCAGAAAATAATAATATAATATCTAATCCAACATCAGTAAAGGTTAAATTTTCTTCTTTCATTGAAATCTTTTTAGATATTATAATTCATTTTTAATATTATTACAATACAACTAATTCGAATCGGGCGAATTTCAACTATCATTGAGTAGATATGCTTTTCTTGGAATCAAACATATAAGTTCCTGTTTGAGTATATTTTCTTTATCTATTATCTATCTACTCACTATGCCAATTTCCTGCGAACTTTTCTAATCAATATTGTAGCATAGTCAAAGTTTATCAATAATGAAATGCATTAATGTTATTGAAATAATAAAACTAATATCGGGCACAACAGCTGCTGATGAAATATTGTCCACGAAGCAAGCTGCCTCAAAGAGGAAGCAATATTCAAACTAGATATATACTCATATTCAAGTGTGTGTGTGTGAGTGCGTGTGTGTGTATGCGTGTGTGTGCAAGTATCCGTTTCCTTTGTTGGATGAGCAAAATTTCAATATGTGGAAATTACTTTATGATGTGATGACACCAATTTATCTAAGTTAACAGCCGGCAAAAAGCAGAGCTGTGTAAAAACCGCTAAATATGATAAACATTTGGCTTCAATTTCACCAAAATTTGGGTTGTTATCTAAGCGAAATATTAACTATGTAATTTATTAATATTATAAAATATGCAATATTAAAAAAAACTTTTGTCTAATGAAATTATTCTTTAATACTTTAATAATTATAAAATCAAATTATCACAAATACTTATTATTTATAAAAATAAGCTTTTTTTCTTAATTTTAAAAATGTTGAATGTAAAGCATGGTTTAAAGGACTTTCTTAATAATTTAATAGAAATGAAAAAAAAAATTATAACTATCTTTGACATCTTTCGGGTTGTCTTAATTTAGTTATATGCATTTATTTTACAATTAAAAAAATAGGTTTGTTAAGTTAAATTAAATTATGATCTCTTTTGTGTTTAATAAATTCTGTAAAAAATCGAAGTCTACATCAAAGGAATCATAAGAAGCTGTGGATGTGGATACCATCGAGCCTCTCGAATCCCAACTACATTTTTGTTCGGCAATTGGAGCAGTATTGAACTGATCGATAGTTTGGAATTCCTGCAGGCCAATATCGAATGGTTCAAAGGAATCATAGGAGGCGGTGGACGAGGATGCAGATGTGGCCATTGAGCTGCTCGAATTCCAGCCAAGCTGCTGATCTATCGATGGGTCAGCAATTAACTGATTGATGTGTGGAAATTCCTGTACGTCTTTCGTCTCTGTACTACCATCCAAAAGCTCAGTGCTGAACCAACTGTTTTGCCACATGTCAACACAAGTAATCTCGGGACTTGTACTTGGTAGACGATCATTATTTGGTTCAGGGAACTTATCGGCATTTAAATCGAACTGATCCTGCTCCCATATTCCAAAGTTATATTGCTGGCCACACTGCTCAAATGGCTCTGGTTGTTGGCCTCCGCTAACGTATTGTAATAGACGTTCAACTATCAGCTCATGCTCGCTGAGCTCTGGCTCCGAATGATTCACGGCTTGAGCTGGAGCACAAATTAACAATCCTTTGCGGGTCAGCTGCCTGTTAGCCTGTTTCTTGCTTTTCATGCGCCGATTCTGGAACCAAATCTTCACTTGTCTCTCGGTTAGCTGCAGACGCTGAGCGATAGCTATGCGACGCGGTCTGCCCAGATATTTATTTTCATTGAACTCTCGCTCCAGTTCCAGCAGCTGATGACTCGTGAATGCGGTGCGTGAACGCTTGCACTTGTTGGCGACTGGAGCGCAGAGGGATTCGCAAGATTGCGACTGAGTAGAGTAGACTGTAGCAGAGTTCATCTAGAAATAACAAATAGCAGAAAACATTGTAGCAGCTGTTCAGTTCATAAGCAAATATGTCAAACCTACCACATAGTCGTTGTGGTCCGCAGCGCTCATCATATACGATTCACTTGTATTGATATTGTTGTTCATTTTGCTGAGAGTTATTTGAACTTCTGTTCTGTGACACATTTGTTTTTTAACTAGATGCAATTCCATGCCGCTGGTTTACTTTTATACCCAGCAGGTAAATATAGCCGCGAATCGGAAAACTCTTCCCTCTTCCCGCCTGTTACCTGTAGACGGCGTCAGGTCAGCCACCAGCCGGCTTCTGCAGTTGCTGCTGCTGCGGCTGCGGCTGCTACGTGTCGCGTCTATTGGCGTGCCCAGTTTTTGGCTCCGGAGAGTCCTCGACACATTTGAAAGGTGGCGTGAGTCTTGATTGCGAAACGACTGTCGTCTTTGGCGTGTGTGTCTAATTATAATGCACAATTTAATTGACTTTGGCAGACATTAGAGACACTCTATAGTCAGCCAAATGAAAATATATTTCAGTGGCAGACAAAGTTAACCTCAGATAAAGTTAACCTATATTATTATTGCTCAAATATGTTCAATTTCTATTTTATATTTTTCCAAAAATAACCTGTAAATTGTAAAAGCTAAACGAAACCTAAAAAATTGTATTTTGATACCTGTGTTTTTAGCCAAAACTGTTCCATCAGGTAAATCTTCACCCATTACCAAGATATGAAAGAGAAACAACTCGGGTTTTCCGCGGGTTTTCCAAAAGTGCTATGAATACGTCAACCTCAGCTACCTGCTAAGTTAACCTAAGACTGGCCTGAGCCCGGGCTCTTGATCTCCGCCAATAAAATTCGAGCTGTTGCCCGTCGCATGTGTTTCCTATGAGAGGAGTTTTATGGCAAGGGGCTAAAAGAAAAGGGAATCGCACTGGATTATGCAAACTGACGCCAAATCTGGGCTGCAAAAATATAACTATGTGTGTAAGTATACTTATGCATACATACGTATTGCGAATGTAGCACCTTCCGTCTCTTTTCTTTAAGATCAAACTAAGTAACTTTTGAACAAAATAAATGACAATTATCACTAACATAATATAATATTATGTTAAAATTATCAATAACAATGAGATGTTCCAAATAAAGTCGTGGCAACTAAAGTGATTTTAAAGTATCTTCATCAGATATTCTCGTCTAGATTGATTATTTATGTATCAATTTTTTAAATTAAAACAAACCCTATTTTCAATTTTATAAAACACGTTTAAAAAAATATCCAATATTTTTGGATGCCTAAAAGGTCACGATAGGCTAGGCGCACAAACTTATGAGGTTACCGTAAATGCGCAAATGAGCCTTAAAAGTTATCATAATATCGTTGCTGATTTTAGCATCCATTGTGTAAACTGCTCGGGATTTATTTATTTTCCGTAATTTTCATATACACACATCGTTAACAAAGCCAATATAGACACTATTGTATGTTGGTTCATAAACTTTTGACGTCGACTGTGCAGCATAAATGAAACAAACAGCGACGCAGCGATTGCCAATAAAAACAGAATGTGAAAAAGTGTGGCAGCAGAAAAACAATGCCACCAAGATTGACAACATGATGGTTAGACAAGAAGAGGCGCTCAAAACAAAAAGAAAGACGCGCAGCGCGCAAAGCGAAATGTCAAAAATACGCAACGCCAGCGACGGAGTCAACAAAAAAAAAAAAAAAGAAAAAGAGATATGGAAACTTGTCGCTGGTGCTTTCGCTGCGGCGTTGCGGCGACGGAATGTGTAAATAACAAAAAGCAAATAAATTCCGTCACAAGCAACACGTTTATAGCTGAGCGCAGTAAAAACAGCGCACCAGCTGAACTGACAGCGCAGGCGACAAAGCTACAAGGCGACAGAGCGACAAAATCGCAAAAATGCCCTAGCGACCAATCAGCGTAGCGGAGACTTTGCAGCCGCTAACTGAGTACATGTGTGTGAGTGAGTGCGGAGAGTGTGAGTGTGTCGGCGCGGCTCTTGTGCCTACCTGTGTGCGACTGGCCGAACTCCACCCCCGGCAATCGCTTTGGCCATCTCAATTGCGCATGTATATACTTACATTCAGCTCGCTCTCCGCTTATCTATAGTCGAGCTGTATAGATCTAGTGATAACAGCAACAACAACAATATGATAACAACGAAAATGGTGGAATCACAAGATTTTAAGATAATATCATATGATGGGATATATATATTTACAAAACAAAAGTTATATATAAAGAACAGGTTTTGTTTCGTTCAGCCCAGAACCGTCATCCTGTTCAGCCTAGTTTAATATTTTTAAGTATATTAAATTTTAACCTTACATTCTTAACATGATGCATATTTTCAACTAGAGATGCACCCTGGCATGAATTAAATTAATCATAATATTTCTATTATTAATCTTGTTTTCCCCTAACCGTCTACATATTTCCAATCAGAGATCTTCTACTATTCACGAAAATACACGACTTTTCAAACACAACACGACTTTAGCGCTCACGAGCATGCATTAGGCACATCTCTTTGGCTCAATTGAAACCACCCCAAACATTGCGCTGTGCTCTGCGACACCAACACAACACAAAGAAACGAAACACAAAACACACACACACACACATACTACAGCCGATTTGGACACGCCCCCCCGATTGGTGGTTGTGGCGCTCATCTTTGAATATAGTCGTACAAAATGCTCGTTCTTGGCCACTCCCTGCGACAAGTGCGGACAAGTTTCAGTGCGTTCGGTGCTATTGGATGAAATGGTTGGTTAAGAGTCGTGCCCGCACGAAGCAGCGTCGTATTGCCCAAGCCGGAGGGAGAGTTGCGAGTCTGAGTCTTTACGTGAATAACTGTTTAAAGTCGAGGCGAAAAATTTAGAAAATATAACTGAATTGTCTCTTGGAAATGTGCAATAATAAATGTAGTGAATAATATTTAGTTAAAAATAAATAGGCAACAAATATTCACGGCAAAAGCCACAATTTTGGCAACAGCAACAACTGAAACCGGTTCTGCGCACCGATACGCGGCAGTAGAACCTATGCCACAGGCCAGAAAGAGACAGCTACAGGCAGCACATAGTGTGGCGCGAGTGTGTAGAAAAGTGTAACTTGTAACTACAAATTGCAGTGCAACTGTATACTGTATACTGTATATGTCGACTGAGTGTGTGTGCGTGTGTATTTGCGTGTAGTGTGGCCATTGCAAGATCAGCTTCGGTTTCTTGTCGCTTTGCCAGGCCCTTTGCTCAGCTCGCAAGCAAAAACTTCAACTCGAATTGTCGTTACGCATACGCACCATTGTACCGGGTCGTCCGTCGTGCTGTGCTCCCATTGTTTTGGCACTCGCGTCGCCATGGGTGCCAAGGTATGTAAAACTGTAGCTGGCAGCTCGACATGATGGAACTGGAACTGTCCCGCTTGGTTAAACAACAACGCTTGACACCGCCATCGGCATCGCCATCGCCAGCGCCATAGTCGCAACATCGCGTCGCGCTTGCCGCTTGCCGTTTGCCCGAGTCGCTGACAACTTTGTGCCTGCTTTGCGGGCTTATCTGACCCTGTTCGTAAAAACATCTCGAAAATACATAATAATAAACAGTACTAACAGAGATAGTACTCAATTCGCATAGTTTAAGTGTGGTGCTATTACGCGCAGCAATATATAAAAACCCGCATTGTGCACAAGTGCTAAAAATGTGAAAAAAACAAAATGGAAGCTTTTTAAAATTAACCCTGCACATGGAACTGTCTCAGCGAACTTCAGAAATGGTGCGTGAAAGCTCTATAATTAACAATATTGCTACTTCTTATATTCATTTTAATGTTATCAAAAAGATACATAAGATTGTACTATATCCAGCATAAGCCAAATTTAGACCTGTCTTTGGTATTTGCTGTATACCTTAGCTAGCATTTTGATGTTTCTTTTAATTTGAATTCATTTATACATTTATATTTTATATACATCTGAAATTATTTGATTTTAAATCAGCCATAGAACTGTTCAAGCAACATTAGGAATGTGTAATAAACTTTGGAGTTCACTTTTCTATATTCAAAATTTGTTATTATGTAAACTACATCGAAACAAAGTTTAAGTTTTATTTTTTGGACATTTCTTTTACATAGAACAAATTTTATTTAGAAGAACAAGTCTTAGTTTTGCATAAAAAACAAGCCTAATTTTATAATCAATTTTCGGTCCAAGTTGGACTGCTTACTGCAGTAATAATTTACATTCACGTACATATATATAAATATATATATATAGATTTAAATTTTTGATAAATTCTTGTTTGTTTTTCCCGACGGCCATTTTGGAATTATTTAGATTTCTTGATTGACTTCTACTTTCAATGTACAATTTATTTTATTAGAAATGTAATTTTTGGATTTTCTGCTCCATTTCCGATAAGCCTTCTTTACATACGCATTGACAAAGTTACAATTTATTATGCATGGAAAACACATAAATGTGAATAAGAGCATATTACAACAATAAGAAAATGTACATTATTTAACAATATTAACATAACAATTTTTACATTAATAATACAATTATTGTATTTTATTACATTAAAAATGTGAATTACTTTGGTATTATAATTATTTTCGGAATTTTGTGTTCATTTCAGGTGCATAAGTAAAACGTAAACTCAAGAAATACAAGAAATAGACAAGAGAACCTTAAGAACATTATAGTTTACAATGCAAGAGGTGTGCAGCACGTTGGACACCACCCAAATGGGCGCCCAGATCAAATCAGAGTCGCCGCTCAATCCACTCCAGGTGCAAACCGGCCAGACGACGGTGGTGCCGGTTGTGGCCGGGGCAGGGCCACAGGGGCCGCAGGGACCGCCGCCGGCGGTGATGCTTGTCAACAAAATGGCACCGAACTGTGATAAACGAGCGGCCGACACCGCCTACTGGATGGCCTCCGAGGGGGGCTTCATCAACTCCCAGCCATCGATGGCCGAGTTCCTCAACCATTTGAGTCCCGAGAGTCCGAAAATTGGCACACCTGTTGGCGTAGGTGGTGGCGGTGTCAGTGTCGGTGTCGGTGGCGGATATCCTGTTGTTGGTGTCGCTGGTGTGCCACAGACACCGGATGGGATGGACTCGGTGCCCGAGTATCCCTGGATGAAAGAGAAGAAGACATCACGCAAGAGCAGCAACAACAACAATCAGGGTAAGTACCACCAGCCGATAGCCATAAGCAACTCTTCACTTACCACTTGCCACTTGTGTACTTGCAACGGCGAGATGAAAAGCCGCAATCAGCCGCGGCCGTAACTGGAAAATGCAAAACTCTCATTAATCAAGAAATCAGTGCAATTTCGTTAGCATCGAACGGCGCCGCAGTCGCAGCTCAGTTCCCGGCACAGCCCCCTTCTTATCCAGTTACATATGCTATATACCAGATTCCAATGAGGCAATCCCAGCTGGCCAATCTCATTTGAAGCCCACTCGATCACACGAGCACACGCAACGCGTCTCCGTCTCCGTTTCCGTCTGCGTTTCTGTTTCTCGCTCTCTTTTTCTGGGTTCGGCTCCTTTGATGGACAGCGCGCCCTGAACCAGGCCCAGAGCCGGGCGAGCACACAGCGCAACGGTGCGGCAAAGATCTGTTATTTGCGATCATTTGTAACAATTTTCGAGAGTGGCCCGACGTCGATTCGTCAGTGCGACTGATGAATTCAGCTCGAAGACGACGTCGAAGTTGGGCGCGTTTCTTTTTATTTAAGTTTTTTTATTTTCTTACCCAATGTGTCGATTTCATTTGTGCAGCAAAAACTAAAGCCAGCCTGCGACTGTGGCAGCTACATTTTAAAATAAATGAGGTATCAAGGTTGTCTGGCCATACGTTTTCCTGTCCAGGCACAGGTACAGATGCACGCTCTAGAGTACAGAGTACAGGGTCCAGCCTGGCCAGGGCCACGCATATGTTGTCTCCCTGCTCTGCTGCTCTGTTGTACGACTGCTCTCTCTCCCCTCTGAGCGATTGCAACCTGTTATTTAGGTTCATTTGTCAAAATATTTTTCCTGTCCCCTTCTTCGATACCGGGGGCAGAGACGGCAATTGCAGGAAAACAGACGAAAGCTGGGAATGGGAACGAACAGCCAGCGAACACAACAACGGTTGCAACAGTTACAACTTGCAGTTACACTGCTGCGCATACATATATCCTCGGGAAATTTGCACCGTATTTCGCATTTGTGCAACATTTTGGGCATTATCAACAGTTGCCATTCCATTTCCATTCACTTGCCACATTTCAATTAATCACAAGTGGACACAAGTGGATCGTTTTTAATGGGGGATACGTATTTACGTGCTGCCCAGGACAGTTGATGCAGTTCTACCTGTAGGATCGCCTTATAAATACACACTGCGACTATCCAAAGAAATGAATGTCTTATTCTGTTTTTATAGTTAATGTGGGTAAATAATTTGAATTGAGTTAATTATGCAGTTAGTTAATTTTATAATACTTTAATTTGACAACGCCTCATAGTAAAATTATTCAGATGTTATATGCCAACAGAAAAGTCTCATTAATTTGATCCTCCAGTCAAATATTTGTCAGCTATATTAACATTCTGCTAAAGTTACTTACTTTTGGAATTAAGCACAAAATTTGTTTATTTAACTTGAATGGTTTATGTGTAAATTTAAAAACACATTGCCACAAGATTTCAAGTTTTTGTTTTTCAGTATTTATTATTTACATACATCAAAAGTTAAAAAATTCATTTTGTGAGCAATTACAAGCCATTAACTAGCAAAAGCAAAATGCAATTACATTAAATTATCAAGCAAGCCATATGCTAACAACTGAGCTTAAGATGTTTAGAAACAACTCTATTAAAATAAGTGATACGTTGCTCTTAAAGTGCACTTGCTTCAGCCCAAGGTTACATAGATGCAAAGAGTATCTACTTTGGTACCTTACACACTTCCAACTTTAGATATATATATATATGTGTGTGTGGTTGCCTGACCACGACAGACCTAAACTAATACTATGCCAATTAATATCAACCACATCACCATGTTGACAAATGGGAACCACTAATCCGACAAACGTTTCAAGTGTAACCTGAAATCCAAGCACGTGGCCAGCGACACTTGCCGGGGAAAGCGAATTCTCAAATTCCCCAGCGAACGCCGCCAGCTTCTTCTTGGTGGGCGAACCCTGAAACTGCCGCCCAGTCACAGTTGCGGGCCCGGAATACGAATGGATGCAGGTCCTGGCTGGGTGGCTATCCTTCTCTATGTCCGAGTGAAAGTGAGCCAATAAATAGCGTGAAGCATTCCAAGCGCCGACACTCGTATAGAATCTGTTGAAGGGTCAATACATCTTTCTCCCGCACACACACACGCACACATATACACAGAGGGCGGCAATCGACTGGGACTGTGGGACTACATGCTGTGCGATATGGATTACAAATGATGTTGTAAATGTCTGTCCGTTTGCTAAGCGGGCGGCCCATTGGACAGATGGACTGCAGGACAGACAACTAGGAACGTTGTTACGGCTCTCAGTTGAGTCGACAAATGTTTAAGTGTGTGTCTCTGTGTGTAGTGTGTGTGTTTGGTTTAACAGTTTAATTTGTTAATGTTGTCAAATTAATTCCATGTCAGGTTGTAGACGTATTCAAGTGTTGTCAGTATCCCACAGTGCCAAAGATCGTTACAAGAAACAAAAAAAAAAACATAACAGAGGCAATCTTAACTTATCAATCCATTTGTAGAACCCGTTAAATTACTTTGTCAACAGTTGTTCAACTGATCTTGAAACTAAATTTAAATGAAACTTGTATTATGATACTACTGCCATCATTAGGGATTCACCATAAATAATTCTATAAAACTAAATCTTCGTACTAATCCAAGATCTAGACACTTTTAATGTGAAATCTAAAGCATATGTTAAGTACATACATCGAATACATACATACTTTAAGTCTTCATCCAAAGCAGATTTTCTAAATATAAAATATATGTTTATTAATATCAAAACCTATTCCTGCGGAGCTTTTGGGTGTGTAATTCTTGCTTAAGGACTGTAAAACATATCTCTGCATTTATTCAATTTTTTTAACTTTTATTTTAGCTTTGCAGGCTATTTGTGAGCTTATATAGTAAATAAAATGTGCTGGGTTTAACTCAGGTCACTCGAGAGCTCTAAGCTTATCTTAAGTTAGAAGAACGTTCCAAGCGTATTTATTTCGAAAAAGGTTTAAATGGTTTTTGAAAAATCTCCTCATACATATCTCCCTCCCTCTCTGCCTCCTCTCGACATGTCCTTTTCGTACCAGACGGGCTTGTTGCGCTTACCGCAAATTGTTTGTTTCGCATCCTGAATTTTAATGTGCCCGCGAGAAGAGTGTGTGTGTGTGTGATAGAGAGAGTGTGTGTGTGTGTACGTGCTAAATGGTTGCTTTGGGTTGGAAGTACGTACCCCGTTGGGCTGCTGTGCGTGTGTGTGTTGCTCGTGTGTGTGTGCGCACTCAAAAACAAATTGTTTTGTCAATTTGTTACTGCCTCTGGCGCTCATTCACTCACATAATTGAAACAATAAAATTTCGACTTGAATAAAGTGTTAATTAGGCGTAAAGCTTCCACTTCTAATGCACTGCAGGCAAAGTTATGATACGAGGCGTTTATGGCCTCGCAAGATGCTCAGTTCGCAAAGTATCTGCGAGATACGCGCGAGTATCTCAATGGTGTAGCTACGTTTGATGGTGGGTACTCAAAACGCTGCTCGGCTTTTAATCCCAGCGCGTCGGCCATCAGTTAGCGAAACCAATAAAAAATAAACTTGACTTGTGTTCGCCCCTCTTGGACACGGCTATTGAATTGCAATCGAAATCCATTCGTGCGCCATCTGTATAATCCACCCAACGACCATATGTTGCACCGGATTCATCCGGGGACCACGCTCCGCTGTCCGTGCCAGTTCCAGTTCCAGATCCAGTTCCTGGCTGTGGTTCGGGGGCGTCGCTGCATAAAAAATGCGAAGCGCACGACTCGAAACTTACCCCCTGCAGATTATGATTATAACAAACCATTTATCATAATATTTATGTTGATGCGTTGTACTTTTTCTCAATGAAGGTCTCCCTCGTCCTTAACGTCTAGCCCTGGCCCTGGGCCTGGCCCAGGTTCTTTCGGCTAACCGTGCCCGTGCCTTTTATTAATTTTATTTATGATGAGTCATTTGCACATTTATAATTTTAACCTTTACAGTTGAATTCATTCAAAACAAACCGCGGGTAAGTGCGAAAAAGTCAATGGAGTCGTTCCAAATGCATGTGTATTTGGGAATATAAGTATATGTAGATCTAGCTGATATTTAAACAGATTTGTAGCTTGTGCGGGACATATGACATGCGTAGTAGAGTGCAGAGCATTTTTATGACTTCATCAACATAAACCAAGGAACATATTTAATTGGGGCTTATATAAGTATTAAAACTCAATTTCTACTCTACATAAAACCAATTCAAACCCGGCTTAAGCCCTATTCATAAAAAATAAGCCCACAAAAAGATCCGACCGATCGATAGATAGTTTGGCTAGTTCTATCCATGTCCTTAATAGTTTACAAGAACCAATAAAAATGAGAATTTTTTTTCACTTTTAGAAAATACAATAAAGTTCCACAAATTAAAAGACCTATCAAGCATCATATTAAGCCCATTTAAAAGCTTAACTTTTGTAATGGAAAATTACATTAAATTAATTGGGGCTCGTCAAATAAATTTTAAGCACTAATTATGCGTCAAACCACGAAAGGTGCTCAAAACAATTTTTGCCCGTTTTAAAGCCTCAGTCTGAGGGACTCTCCAACATCTTTCAAAGGAGCCACAGATTGGGTTAGGCCTGAGCCATTGAAAAGGTCGCTCAATTAATTGTTACGACTTTATTATGGAGATAAGTGCGCCGAGATACGGCGCCGTCTTGAGGAGACCAGAAGGCAAACAAAGGGTTCTAATTGGCAGGCCGCAGGATATGGCCAGGCAGACGTCTAAGCACCAGGCTTTCCCTTTTTTTCTGTTTTTTTTTTTTGTTCTCTCTCCCAACGTGACTGTGAAAAAATCTGTTGCGATTAGTTAAGCTCGGGAAAAGTGTGCTGGCGGCTGGCCAAAAGAAAAAGTCATATTTAAAAACAAATTTTG